ATCCAGTACTTAATTATCCATTTCGCGTGGAAACCTAGCCTCTAAAAAACAGATTTAATAAAACCTCACTCCAATCTATCATAAACTTTGCTCATGTCAGTCTTCACTGCCATATAGCATCTCTTAGTAGCTTTTGATCCTTTCAGGAAATATAAGATTTTGTGGGTTATAAGTACATTATTAGAGATAGCTCTGCCAAGGATCAAAGCTGACTGATTCTAATTGTAATACACATTGCTGAGGGCTATCTGTAGTCTGCTACTGAATTTGAACTTTGTATTTTGGGAATGTGCATTACATGTGTGCAATTTAGGGATCGTGGGATTTCATAAATTAAACTAAAAGGTGATATTCATCCAATTGCATATAGATAAGAATTACCACAAAAAAATAAATAAACAAATAAGTAAAATAGTTTATTTTCTAAAAAAAAACTTTATTTCTCTTTTGCCACTTCCCAAATGGGACATTGTTTATGAGTTACAATAGGAACCATAAGCTCTAACAGGTGAGCAAACTAAGAAACAGATAGCATATTAAACCGTGAGAGAGGAAACCACACTACCAGATAACAGAAAGAGAATACCGAAGATCACACACCATATATGAGAGGCCTAAGTTGTCGGACTGAGACTAAAATGAATATATCCGAACCAAACTGATAGATAAGTAAACTGGGAGCTGGCTGTGGAGCGTCGCTGACTGTTCCCAAAACCATCGAGGCCTGCCAACTTCCGATGCAGAGTTCCTTGGATCTCGCGAATCACCTAAGCCGAGGGCTTGGACACGGCTAAATGAATCTCACATTCCTTTCCTTCCATAAGTCATAGATTGTAGCTTGCAACAAGAGCTTGCAAATGACATTTAACTTGGGTATAGAAGAAGCAGACCTTACCCAACCTTCAATGCTTGAAAGAGATGAGGCAGGATTGAGAGGTTGATAAGTGAAAAAAGAAGACCACACTTGCGATGCATAATTGCAATCAAAGAACAAATGAGATTGAGTTTCAGGTGCAGAGTTGCAAAGAAGACAAAGCGGCGATATCTGTAAACCCATCTCAAAAGTCTATCCTGAGTCAGGGAGTTTTATTTACGTGTTTATAACCTAATGGATGACAGAGTGTTTAGGAAATTGTCTGAGAGAACCAAACCGACTTTTCCCCAAGGAACAACTGGATCAGGAGGATGTAAAGTGGACCATGTAATGGAAGCTGAGAGGTAAAATAGTGTTTCTTACTCCTTCCGTTTCACAAAGAGTGTCATTCTGACATTTTTCACACTTATTAAGAAAACTATTAAAAATACTATTTTGCCATTTATTAATGCATTAAATAACTTTTTTCTTTAATTAATACATTAAATCAATAGGGTCAAAACTGGAATATTGTTTAAAATTCTGCATTGAAAATATAAAACAACACTCTTTGTGAAACAAAAATAAAACCTTAAAACGACACTCTTTGTGAAACGGAGGGAGTACCTTTTTTTTAGGGAAATTAGGTGGGATAGCATTCTGCAGAGTCTTATTTAGGTCGATTAAAATCTATTTTTTTTAATCTTGAGCAAAGACATCGAACCCCCTCATCAAGGTTAAACCATACCTGTTCTATTTAAATCATATCAATAAAACTTTTATATATTCTGACAATTTCTATTTCCAACACCACCATAACTTTTGCTCGGAAACTTTTAGTTCAACTCATTATCTCTCTTTTGTTTTTAAATTTTGAATTGATTCTTTTTCTTTCAGAACCTACCCAGAAAATCTCATTTCAAAACTCAAACTCAACTATCGGAACCTCAATTTCATTTCCAGACATCCACATAATTCTCTACTCTCTGTTTTTACGGCAAAATCTCGTCCGTCCATCTTATTGCTCCTCTTGTTTTCTAAGGCGAGGATCTATGGCGAGGCTCTAACATCCCTTGCTTTGATATCTGGTTTTCTTCTGCTTCTTTCTACTACTTCTGTTATGTTTATTGTTCTCGTTTTACTTCAGTATTGTGGCCTTGTTCACTATTTTTTTCCACATCTGAGTTTCTTGATTTTGTAGATCTAGGATTTTCATATCTTTCTCTATGTAGTTAACTATTTACACCGTCTTTAGTAATCGTCTACTTGTGATTTCTGCCAATTTGTACTCTGTATTTTCCCAGTACAGTTGCCTTTTTGTTTGTTATCCACATCTGGTTTACAACGTTAATAAATGTCTACGCGCGTATTCAGTTAGTCTATAAAACTACTATACATGAATAGTCAATTACTCATTTGAATAATGATAGTTATTTACATCACAATAATAGTTATTTAGCCAGTAGCTAACTATTTGTCTGTTTTATTTAGTCAGTAGCTAGTATTTTTTTTTTTGCTCACTTCTTCGATTTCTGGTTCTCTATAATCAACTTTATTTCTAGTTCACTGTATTCACCCGGTTCCATCATCTTCTTCGTTGTTATCGATATATGATTCTCTTGATTTTGAAGTTCTAGAGTAGTTAACTATTTTTATATGCATACTGAGTAAATAATAACTACATTGAATATCGTCATTAGTAATCGTCTATTTTTATCATCTATAACAGATACAATAAACAACTTCTCCATATTTAGTTTACATAACTACTATGCACATATAACCAACTACTAATTACAATTATTCATAGTTAACTACGTTACAATAGTAATCAGTTTACAATAACTAACTTTTGTCATTTTCCTTTGTAGGGATATGTGTTCTCTTCAACAATGTGAACCCACACCATTCACAAATAATGTGCTTCTCCAGATCCACAATGCATTCATTGATGTCTTTGTAAGAGTTGCTAGAGACTCTTCAGAAGATGCTTTTTTATTTGCTAGTTCATGAAAGATTTTAAACCAAACATTCAAGGAACCATCTGTCATCAGGGCGCTCAACCTATCTGCCTTCATTAAATGACCCAGCTTGATGAAACGCTACCCTGAATTATTTGAGTCAGAGAAAATAGACAACTACCAATAATCAACTTTGAGTAGTAGTTATATAATTGAAATAGACAATTATTAATACTTACTTAATATTAGAATCAACTTTGAGTTGTATGGAGAAAATAAACAACTACTAATAATCGATTTTGAGTACTAGCTATCTAATCAAAATACGTTACAAAGTAGTCAACGTCTATGTGTCAATCAAACGAACCTTAATTTTCAACATAGTCACCTATTAGTAGTCATCTATACTGAAGTGATAGATGACTAGTTGGTATATGTCTAATTACTTTCAATTTTGTGTAACTATAGGAATTATCGTCCATAATGTCTCACACTTTCAGTTTGTCTGAGGGGGATGAAACTTTTTTATAAAATAGTTGTCTACTACATAACTACATACTCTGAGAAAATAATCTTCTATGAAAATAGTGAACTATGGCCATAGAGTTACCATTGTGACCCCTCCCAAGACACCTGCTGCAAAGCCTTGCCACATTTTTCAAATTTCTATGTGTCATTCAAAGAATTAGATCACCCACATTTCTACCAAAAAGTAGTCAACTACAACTCAATCTAAAAAGTTGACTATATTACAAACACTAAATAGTTGACTACGTTACTTTCATTTCTCCTCGGGATGGAATTTTTATTTTCTTTTATCGACCATGTGGTCAGCGCATTAATGGGGGAAGTAGTTCCGAGTCACCAAAACATACATATGTTGGTTCTGGGTAGAAAGGTCTTTCATAAAGGGGTCTCCAAAAACTGGTTGTGTACACCTCTCCCATAAGATTCTCATATGCAATGTTGTCATACTGATCATGGTCGATAACAACCACCTACATTTTAAACATAGTCACATATTAGTAGTCATCTACTATAAATATATGAATACTACAAACAAAAGCATTAGAATCGAAAAGAACGTCTATACTAAAGTGATATGTGACTATTTGATATATGTTTATTTACCTTCAACTTGGTGCAACCATAGAAAATATCGTCCATAATGTCTCATAATTTTAGAGTGAGAGGATGTTCATCTGAGGATACAACTTTTTTATGAAAATAGTCTTTTACTACATAACCGCATACTCTGAGTAAATATTTTTTTTTGAAAATAGTCAATTATGCTATAGAGTTATCTCAGATTTCAAATGTTTGAGCAAAAAAGTATCGTGTATAATTTCTTGAAAAAATCCAACCCATAAAGCTAAATGGCAAAATTAGATTACTCAAATCAGCACTGCACTATCTAAAATTCACTCATTCTGAATATTTTGTTTAGAAAAAGAAACACAAAAGAAGAAGATTAGAAGAATAACAGAGAGGAAGAGAAAGCTAGTGGAGAGAGAAAATAATAATTAACTTACTACTACACATATATTATAAAATAATAATAAATATTAATGTTGGTTAAAGTTCTTGTTGCTATCGTACAAAGAAGCAAGTAAAGTCTCCATCTTTTTAAGGTTTTGTGGTCTCATATCGTGTCAGAAAAAGTTTTATCCAGAATTATAGTATAAGAGATATTCAGTCTTTCCCACCTACTTTTTGCAGTTGATTACAGCTATATAATCAATTTATGATAATTAGCTAATTTGTTTACTAAAATCTATTATTCATGCAAATCATCTTTTTTTTTATGTAACAAAAGTTTTACTAAGATAAATTTCTTACTTACATTTATATTAAATACTTACTAACCACATAATACTAATGAACTAATTTAGATTGTGTTAAAAAAAAAGAAGACTAATTTAGATATTTTCGTAAAATTTGAAAAAGCTTTTGTAAAATTGACCACTAAAAATACATGTCGTTTGTATTCCCGGAACATACTGTACGTACTTCTTGAAAAAAATCAAGTTAAGTGACTTCAGAATATTCTTGGAAACTGATACTTGAAAATCGACTCCTCAAATTCACTCATTGGAAACTGATATTTGAAAATTAAGTATTAATTTTGACTTACCGTTACAGCTAACAAAATCGCAATCAATATACAAAATTTCAGAAAACCAGGTAAATGATTTATAAATAATCCCGAGAAGCCGTATAAATTGTCCGAAACCCTACATTTTCTCATTATCACTCTCAAACTCAAGTCAAAGTCCATCGCTTTTTAGACTCTTACCATTTTCTCATCTTCTTCAATTTTCTTTCGCTTCTCAGCCGCCGATCTCATCCATGGCTCCGATTGCTGTCGGCGATGTTGTACCAGACGGAACAATCTCCTTCTTCGACGAGAATGATCAGCTCCAGACCGTCTCTGTCCACTCTCTCGCCGCCGGTAAGAAAGTCATCCTCTTTGGTGTCCCTGGTGCTTTCACACCTACCTGCAGGTATAATCCTCTGATTTTTTTTTTTCTTCGCTCTCTTAATTTAGTTATAGATCAGATTAAGCTTTCCGATTTTGCGAAGTTTTGTCGAAATTTGCTATGAAATTTTATACTTTTTAATTCTCAAATCAGATTAGGTTTACATGGTTTAACTAGAGTTTTTGTATGTGGGTTTTGATGCTTAGCTAATAGATGCTTAGATTCGAGTTTGAGAATTTACATTTTCTTTTCTTTTCTTGAATTAGCATGCAGCATGTTCCTGGATTGATTGATTCTTAGATTCTGTTTGAGAATTTGTGATTTTGTTTACCGAGTTGTCCTTCTTTGCTCACTTAATTTAGTTGTATATCGGGAGGCTTACCGAATTATATTGGAATTTTGTCGAAAATTGATAATTTTTTCTTGTTCTCAATCAGATTAGGATTTGATGCTTAGCTAATTGATACTTAGTATCGAGTGTGAATTTTTTTTTTTTTTTTTTATGAATTAGCATGAAGCATGTTCCTGAATTCACATGATGCTGGTCTGACTGTTTCTTTGATTCGATTTGAGAATTTTGACTTTGTTCTGTGTGTTTGTTTTTCCTGAATTAGCATGAAGCATGTTCCATGCTGGTCTGATTAATTCTTAGATTCGATTTGAGAATTTTTGATTTTGGTTTTGTGTTTTGTTTTTCCTGAATTAGCATGAAGCATGTTCCTGGATTCATTGAGAAAGCAGAGGAGCTTAAATCAAAGGGTGTTGATGAGATCATCTGCTTTAGCGGTGAGTATGATTCTTCCGTATCGAACCTCTGATCTCTTATGGGATTTTAGAAGAAATGCAGAGCAAGAAAATCGATACACACTTGGATCAATCATTTGTATATTAGCTTGTTTGGTTTCATAGTGTTAAACGCCATTATTTGCATTGATTTGTTGCAGTGAACGATCCATTTGTGATGAAGGCATGGGGAAAAACATACCCAGAGAACAAGCATGTGAAGTTTGTAGCAGACGGGTCAGGAGAATACACACATCTTCTTGGACTCGAGCTTGACCTCAAGGACAAGGGTCTTGGTGTTAGGTCAAGGAGATTTGCTCTGTTGTTGGACAACCTCAAGGTTACTGTCGCCAACGTTGAATCTGGTGGCGAGTTCACTGTTTCAAGCGCCGATGATATCCTCAAGGCTCTCTAAGTAAACTTTATCATTGTCTTTTGTATTTATGAATGTAAAACCGCTGCATTTGAAAGTGAAGACTCTAAGCCTGATTTCACTAAGCAGGCATAATAAAGCGGTAGTGACTTGCTTATGTCGTAATATCAAAGTGTTGGTGTTGGTGTTTTTCTTTGTGTTGATTTATGAAAGATATGAGACATATCAAACTGAATGAGGCAATGATAAGCACCAAATAAGGTCTATTTTAGGAACATAAATCCTTGGTAATAAGCCAGAGGTTTTGCTGTTACTAAGAAAGTTTTAGCATAAGTCAAAGTTGTATGGTGTTCTTCATTCTTTATGCTGTGTTGTGAATTGTTTAACAAACTATATATGCGTTTGTTATCGGAGACCAAGATCTGGAGTGATGTGCTTAGATTTGATCTAGGGTTCATACCAATGTATCGTTGAACTGTTGAAGATAAGCTCAAAAAAGGAGTTTGTCACATTGGAGCTTAATTATCAGGAAAGTCAGATTCTGCAACTCGCTTGATTGAACATCGCTTCAGCTTCCTCATATCAACAATGCTATTTCCTCTTTGATGGTTTTGTTGAGTTTTGAGTTTATCTCATGTTTGGGCTTATTTCGATTCTTGGTTCAGTTTAGGTTCAATAGGGTTCATTATGGATTTGTGGGTATGTAATATTAGAATGAGCTATTGGGTACGTAAAATAAATTGGCAATCACTCATCATTCGTTTCTTGACTTATAAATTTCCAATAGATCTACAAATTACAAGATGTCATTATGTCAAGATTGATAATAGGCTTAATAGCCTAATTCTTAGGCCCAACAGATTATAGATTTCGACATATTATGAATGAAAGAAATTCCATGCACGTTAATTGTCACACAATAAGAATCCTTTTCTCCGTTTAGGCTTTAGCATTCTGTTTTTCTTTTGTCACTCTTTCTATCTCTACTATAATCAAAGACTAGTTGATTACCCGCACCATATGCAGGGTAAATATTAATTATAATTCTTTTATTCAAATGTGCAAATATAATATATATAAATACAGCTATAAAAATATTAGCTGATATTTATAATTACAAATATATATGATGATTATGCAATCTTATACTAATAAAAGTTGAAGCTATAGGCTTCTCAAGGCGTCCATATAGGATTCAAAAGAGTAATTTTATTGGTCCACATCAGCATTCAAAATTAAGGAAAATTTCCAAATTCTAATATTATTGTTAATAAAATATATATAAAAGAATAAAGAATTATGTATTAAAAGTGTCCACATAAGATTAAAAAATATAATTTTATTAGTCCACATCAACATTCAAAATTAAAAAAAATTTACAAATTCTAATATTATTGCTGAATAAAGAAATTAAGAAACTTTACAAATTCTAATATTATTGCTGGACAAATATTTTGTTGTAATTTTTTTATTTGTCCACCTCAACATTGAAAATTAAAAAGTTTTCAAATTATATTATTGTTTTTAAAAATTATTAAAGAAAAAGAAATTATATATACAATTTATATTAATAATAACAACTAAAATAAATAATATTAAAATAGGAAATTTAATATTTAAATTAGAGGTATAAACACATATTTAGAGACTCTTACATTAGCATTCAATTTTTTTGTCACATAACTATAATAAGTTTTAAGTTTTTTTTTGTGTGTGCAACCATTTCAAATATACAAAACAAAAAAATAGAGTTAAGTTTCAATAAAAAATAAGTCATTACAACGTAAAAGAACCAACTTGACTAAATTATATTTTTAACTATAATGAAAAAGATATAAACAAAGCCATTACAAACCGCTTTAATATCGAAAAAGAGACCGAAAAATCTACAAAGCTTGGCCACCGAATTTGAGAAGAATGATAAATTTCAAGCAATCCGAGAAACATGTCAAGTGATTGATACTCGAAACTTTTGAAAAATGAAGCATTGAAAATAGAGAAAGAGGTTCGTCATTAAGACAAAGAAGTTTGAGGTATCTGAGGAAGATTTTTGAAATAACATGGAATCTGATGGGGTTTTAGTAACCTAACATTAACCACAAAGGTAACAATTAGCTGACCAATCAACATCTAAATACATTCGGTAAGCCTCAAAACAAGAAGGCGAGACCAAAATTATGACACTTTTGAAAAACGAAGCACTTGAAAATAGAGAAAGAAGTTCCGTCATTAAGACGAAGATTGAGGTATCCGAAGAAGTTTTTTGAAATAACATGGCATCTAATGGGGTTTTAACAACCTAACATTAACCAAAAAGGTAACAACTAGCAGACCAAGCAGCATCCAAATACATTCGGTAAGCCTCAAAACAAGGAGAGACCACAATCACTTGCCTCTTGTAGAATCTTCTACCTTTGATTTTTACATCTATTATTAAAAAAGTAAAAGCTATATGCCTATAAGAATGTCCAAATATGATTTAAAAGTTCAATTTTATTGGTCCACATCAATATTTAAAGTTAAAAAAATTTCCAAAATTTAAAATTTATATGGTTAACAAAAAAATAAATTTATAGAAAAATAAAATCGTAGCTATATGCCTCTAAAAACATCCACAAAAATTTAAAATTTCAATTTATTAGTGTACATCAATAACTAAAATTTAAAAAAATTCTAAATTATTAAATTACATTGTTAATACAAAAAATATACGAAAAATTGTTAATTAAAATTATTCTATTATTAATAACAGTTAAAGCTATTATTTTCAAAGCATTCATATCAGTATTTAAAAATTAAACTTTATTCGTATATATCAAAATTGTAAATTTAAAAAAATTCTAAATCTATTAAGAAAAATATTAAAGAATAAAGAAATCTCTATTAACAAAAAAAACATGATATTAAAATCTTCATTATTGATGTTTAAGTTATAAATTTAATTTATTATCTATAAAAATATATGCTACTTATACAAGTTTAGGTTACTTGATTTAAGGTTTTTCACGTAGAAATTTAAATAATTAATAATTATAATTTATATTAATTATTTTTTTTACATATGCAAAACATATTTCTACATAATCTCATGTAATATATTATGCGAAAATGCTCAAAAAAATACATCTTGTATATTCGACTTGGAATTGCAATGATTAATGTAGAATTTTTGAGTTGTTCAATTTGTTATTTCATTTTTCTAGATCTCTATATATTAAATTGTACCAGCTTTGCCTACTTAATTATAATTACAAAAAATAAGAATGAATATGATGAAACTGAAGATAATCATACAAAAATCATTAAAATAAATAAAGATGATATATCGTTGAAAAAACAGATATAACAAGAATAAAAATGAACATGATGAAAAAAAGTATTCTTAATAGAAGAGATGACGTATAATCATTGAAAAAATTTTCAAACGTTTGCACAACAAATTGACGATAATATATTTAATTCACAAATTTTGTGTGATTTTATTTATTTTATATTCAACTATTATTTTGGTTTCAAATTTAAATTTGTTATTAATCTCAAAGCAAATATTTGTTGTTTAAATTAATATAACAAAATAAAAATTTGTATCAGTTAAACAAGAGAAGAAAAAAGATTAAATTTTAAATTGTATTATTTTTTATTGTTTTTAAAGATCACATATATAATTGGAAGAAAAGTGAAAATGATGAAAAAAATTATCTTCATGATTTAAAGAAGTGAATGTATAATATTTTATCATCATGTCAATACTATGTTTAAAAAGTATCATTTAATTAATTTGTAAATTTTTTAGTTGATTTGAGTATATTAACTTATAAATGTTCGACCAATTAATACATTTTTGAAATATGACATTCTGTATATAGATTTAAAACAAAACCCTTAAAACCTCTAAATTTACATAATAATTAACACCATAATATTTTTAATATATTATTAAATCACTAATATATAAAATTTATATCTTAATAAATATAATTGATTGCATATAATTTTTATCAAAAAAATACCCACGCGTAGCGTGGACGCAAAATTTAGTTATAAATAATGATCAAAGTTATATTTATTTTATAATACAATTGCATAAATACTAGATAATTATTGATTTTATAATTAATTTTAATAATATTTTTTAGATGAATAAAATTATACATTAAATATACTAAATTAGATTAATATGTTCTATCTAACCGGTCTAACATCAGACTAAGATACTTTGCTTTGATATAAAAAATGTGAATTATAATATGAATGAAAAAATTTAAATTTAATTATTAAATAGATAATATGATTATTTTTTAACAAAATTAAAATTAAATAAAGATGAGATAAGAAAATAATGTTTAGTAACATAAGTAATATTATGTATTAAATTTTTATAAATATGTTGATAATAAATAGAAAGAGAGAGAATATATTTACAAATTAAATGTTTGAGTATTAAATATATATTTGATATAAACTAATCTTTAACTAAATTAATGTTAATGGCATATGATGTAATTAATCTAGTAAGTTTAGTCTAATTTCAAAAAATCTTTGAGAAGCTTTATGAGATTGAACATTAGCATGACAAAATTGTTAATAACACATGACATAAAGGTTATTTTTTAAGTGTCCTTCTCAAATAATAATAGAAAATAGTATTTTTGTTTATTTTTTTTTTGATATTGAAAAAAAAACAGACAGTATTTTTGGCCAGAAAAGAAATAAATCTAACAAAAAAAGTAAAATTCCTAACCAAGATAATTTTCTTATTTCCATCATATTGATTTTTGGGTATTCCAAAAAAAAAAGATTTATTACCATAAGAATTTTCATATGTACCATAATAAGTTTTTCAAAAGATTTTGTAAATTTGACTACTAAATTTTTTACTAAGGTTTCTAAAAACAAGTTGCTGTAATTTTGGAAAATATATATCTTTTATCATTCAAAATTTACAGGTAAGAATCGTAATCATGAATTTTGACCAAGCAAAGAAGAAGTAGTGATCAAGAAAGAAAATCAAAAATAGTAAAAAGAACAAAAGGAAAGAAAATGAATTAGTGATTTTTCATTCCGGAAACGTATCTTCACCAAACAAAAAGGTAATCAAGAAAAAAAATCAGTTATTTTGACCATAAAAAATAAAAGAAACTCAATTAATGATAATTATCCAAAAGTCCTATAAATTATCTGAAAAGCCATCCATTTCATTTCACACTTTAACCTCTTCCATTTTCACATTTACTTTAAAGTTCAAATCATTTGCTTCTGATCATGGCTCCAATTGCTGTCGGCAATGTTGTACCAGACGGATCAATCTCCTTCTTCGACGAGAATGATCAGGTCCAAACCGTTTCCGTTCACTCTTTCGCCGCCGGTAAGAAGGTCGTTCTCTTCGGTGTACCTGGTGCTTTTACCCCGACCTGCAGGTAAAATCCTCCAAACTTTTTCTTATTTGTCATAAAATGTTCAGTTGTTGTCGAAAATGAGGTCAGGATGTGACATTTTTATATATTTCCGATGACGCCATTTTTTCCATCCGTTTCATTGGAAATCGTTGAGAATTTCAGACGGATTTAAATTAATTAGAATTTCCGTAATGGCCTTGTTTTTTTTGTAGTGTATATATAGTTGTAAATCGCCTTAGATCCTGACTCGTGAGGCGTACCATATATAGAGGAGTTTTGTCATAATTTGATATGAAATATGATACTTTTTTTTTCTTGTTCTCAATCAGATTAGGTTTTCAGGTTTATCCTTTAAGTAGTTTTGTTACTCAACTTTTGTGTATATTGGTGTAGTTGCTAAGCTGGATCCTTAGATTTATATTTGACAATTTATGTTTTCTTTTCTTGAATTAGCATGCAGCATGTGCCTAGTTTCATTGACAAAGCAGAGGAGCTGAAATCAAAGGGTGTTGATGAGATCATTTGCTTTAGCGGTGAATATCATGATCTCTATCAATTTGTATATTCAAAAATTTATAATTAAAGCTGTTTGGTTAAACATAATTTGCAATTGATTTGTTGCAGTGAATGATCCATTTGTGATGAAGGCTTGGGGAAAGACATACCCAGACAACAAGCATGTGAAGTTTGTAGCAGACGGGTCAGGAGAATACACAAAGCTACTCGGACTTGAGCTTGACCTCAAGGACAAGGGTCTTGGTGTTAGGACAAAGAGATTTGCTATGTTGTTGGACAACCTTAAGGTGACTGTCGCCAATGTTGAATCTGGTGGCGAGTTCACTGTTTCAAGCGCCGATGAGATCCTCAAGGCTCTCTAAGAAAATTTATCAGTCTCTTTTGATTGTTTTTGTGCATGTAAAACCGCTGCATGTAAAAGTAGTTTGCTTGTAGCCTTCAGACAATAAAGCTGGCATAATAAAGCGGTAATAATAAAGTATTTGTTTTTCTTCTTTATGTTGGTTTATGAAAGATATAATGAGTAATCCATCTGTAGATTCATACCAATTTTTTCCATTTTAGTCTGGACTGATATGGACATAGCACGTAACGTAAGCCTAATTCATTATACGTACCAAAAAGTTAGGCCTGCTACGAGAGTTTTCAGATGTTTTTTTTTTTTTTTCTTATTTACTTGCCCTTCTACTTTTTGTGAGATATCCGTTTCACAAGATTCTACTATAAATATTTTTCTATTATAATGTGTTGTAATTATCCAAACTTTTACGGACATAGTTTTACCGACTTAATGCTGTGTATAAATAGACCTCTCCCTCTCTCATTTGTAGTAACTGTGCGTGTGTGTAAAAAGAATCAATAATCAAAGAGATTGTTTTCTCATTCTCATCATCTCTCTCCTACTTCATTCATTCTCTCCTCCTTTCTTTAATACACATATATATATACATACAAACTATATATCTCATCATATAACATATAAATTCAAATTTTTATCACGTTATCAGCACGGGCGTTTCTTGATCCGTTCTTATACCCAAAAAGGTAAGATTTAAATTTATGTTTATTTCAAGTTTATGTATTATTTTGGGATGATAGGCTCGGCCTTCCCCGAACCGTTAATTTAAATTTATGTTCTATTTCTTTTTTTTTTAAGTTTACGGGATGATAGACTCTGCCTTCCTCGAACCGATCATTATGATAGACTATGTCTTCACGATCATATGATCATATGGTAGACTATGTCTCCTCAGATCATATATATGGAGTAGAAGGTTAAACCTCCTCCTTGATATTATGTTTATGGAGTAGAAAGCTCTGCCTCCTCAAAATTATATGGTAGGCTCTGCTTCCTCAAAAATATGGTAGGCTCTGCCTCCTTAAAAAATATGGTAGGCTATGCCTCTTCAAATTATATATGGAAGGCTCTGCCTCCAGAATTATTTTAATTTTATGTTTTATTATGTGTAAAAATTAAATTTTTATCATGTTTTTCTCGTTAAGCAAAATTTAATACTGAACGTTTGCTAAATTTATTTTTGATAAAATTATATACAGTTATAATGTCGAATTTGGCGAAGCTCGAAATCCCTGCCCTTGATGTGTCTGGAAAAAATTATATGTCATGGGCAGTAGGTGCAAAAATGCATCTAAGAGGAAACAGGCTTCTCGATACCATCGATAAGTCGGAAACGACATCAGATAAGGCGAAAGCCATGATATTTTTGCTCCACCACATCGATAATAGTTTAAAAGAAGAATACATCACGAAAGAAGATCCTGCAGATCTTTGGCAATCTCTTAAAGATAGGTTTGATCACCAAAAATATGTGATCTTACCAAAAGCGAAACATGAGTGGCTGAACCTCCGGTTTCAGGATTACAAAACTGTTGGTGAATATAATTCCGCTATGTTCGGAATTACTTCCGGGATGATGTTATGTGGACAGGAGGTAAGTGATTTCGACATGATCGAAAAAACTCTCCACATATTTCATCTTGGAAATGTAATCCTGCAACAACAATACCGGGCAAAAGGTTACACCACGTACTCGGAGTTGATGCAAGTCCTCCTTGTAGCTGAACAAAATAATCAGCTCGTGATGTTAAACTATCAAACTCGTCCAACTGGATCATCGCAATTCCCAGAAGCGAATGTTGGGTCATCCAGTCAAAATAATAGAACTGAACGCGGACGCGGGCATGGTCAAGGCCGTAACCGCGGTCGCGGACAAGGTCGTGGACGACGAAAACAAAATGATGTTGGTCGGGAAGCAGGAAAGCAAAAAGAAACTGCTTGTTACAGATGCTGCATGAAAAATCATTGGGCTAAAACATGTCGTACGCCAAGACATTTAGCCGATCTGTACGAAGCATCACAAGATGCCAAAGAAAAGGATAAAGGAAAGAATTTTGAAACCAATTTCATCTCTGATGAAGCTGGACCTTCCTTTGATGGCATAAATGATTATACTCATCTTGATATCGCTGATTTCCTTGTTGATCCTGATGAATCAACGGAAACAAAGCGATTAAGATCAATGTAGTATAATGTCTTTATGAAGAAGATAGAAAAAACTAATGTAATCTTATATAAGAATGTAATATATTTTTCTAAACATAAAAAGGGTTTTTTAATGTAAAATAACTTTTAAAATTATATTTTTGATTTATTAATGCATTTTCTTGCATATTTTAATCTAGACTATGACATCGTTTGAGATTTAGGATGGAGATACATGTCTAGCCGACAGTGCTACGACACATACTATACTTAAAGATAAAAAGTATTTCTCCTGTCTCAAAATAAAGGACTCCGCCGGAAGCGTGGATACCATATCTGGTAATGCAAATATTATAATTGGCTCCGGAAGAGCTAATTTTTCAATGCCAAAGGGGACAAATTTTGAAATAAATGATGCATTATATTCCCCCGAATCTAGTAGAAACTTGCTAAGTTTTAAAGATATCCGAGGAAATGGATATCATATAGCAAGTACAAATAAGAATGGCATTGAATATCTTTGCATTATATCTGAGAGGAAACACGTATTGGAAGAATTACCAATGATGTCCTCTAGGTTATATTGCACAAAAATAAATATGACTGAATCCTATGTTACAGTAAACCCGGGGTTTACTAGTACATTTAGAGTATGGCATGAAATATGTGGCCATCCTGGATCAGTCATGATGAGAAGGATTGTGCAAAATTCGAGTGGCCACCCATTAAAAAACCAAAAGATTTTTCAATCGGGAGAGTTTTCATGTCAGGCATGTTTTCAAGGAAAACTCATAACTAGATCCTCGCCAACCAAAGTTGGGAATGAATCTCTTGTATTCTTAGAGAGAATACATGGTGATATATGTGGGCCGATTCACCCACCGTGCGGGCCATTTAGATATTTCATGGTATTAATTGACGCATCTAGTAGATGGTCACATGTGTGTTTATTGACCACAAGAAATATGGCTTTCGCAAGATTCATGCCCAAATAATCAGGTTGAAAGCGCAATTTCCTGATTATGCCATAAAGAAAGTCAGGCTTGACAATGCTGGTGAATTCACTTCAGCAGCCTTTAATGACTATTGTATGTCATTATGAATCGATGTTGAACATTGATGTCTCGTTCGTATCAACTGCGTGAGGGAACAAGTTTTACCCTTAACAAAACAAATGAAAGCCGCAAGTGCACAGCTAATCAGTTGTAGTATTTAGGGTTTGTGTGCACAGAGATTTGTGTGCCTGGTATTCCTCTATGGTTTTTAACTTTATGTCTATACTAAATTGGTTTTAAAGGTTGGTTGTTTGTTTTGCGAATTAAACTAAAAACAAAGAAAGCAAATAAATCTATCCTAAAAAGCAAGTAAGAAAACCGAATGAAATGCAATTAGAATAAGCAAAATATCGAATGAAAGACTAATAAGGCAAGTGAAATATCGCATGAAAGGTAAATTAAGCAAGTAAAATATCGAACTAAGGGAATTGAAATGCAGGTCTAAGAAAGCAATAAAAATCGATGGAGTTGTAAACTATGGCTAAAAACGCTGAGCTTTTGGGAACTCTAAGGGATCATAATCGGTTTTAACACTAGGGTAGATAGATTGGGATTGACGGATATTGATATATGGGTTCTAGAGCTAGAGTACGGCGGTATGATTACGTCACTGTCGTGATCATAACCAACTGTTTCTCGCAACCCTGACCAGTAGGTTTCCACTCTGGCCCTGGAAGGGAGAGAACGTAAGAGCTGCACAAGACTCGTCAGTACTCACGATCTCGCCGCAGGTAGGTTTCCACTCCTACGGAAAAATCGCCTGTTTCATTCTAGGGCTGATACTTAATGAAAACTTTCGCAACACTAACTATCTAGATCAGATACTAGGTGATCAATCAAGCATACATGCAATAAGAACAAGAATAAACAGAGAACAGGTCAAAATCCCAGATCTATAAACCTAGATGTCTTAATCGATTATGAGAGCCCCTTTCGAGAACCCTAAGCCCAACTCGGGATCTACTCAGACATGGCTGAGGTCGACATCATCATTGGTTTTAATAAAAGTAAGGAAAAACAGTAAAGAAAAGAGATAAAGAAAGCTTCTCTATTGAAGAACTCGAACTTGAACAATCTTCTACAAAAATCTCATAAAAGCGGCTAAAGGAAAAGGGTTTTTGTAAAGTATGAATGGCTCTCTCTAAAAAACGACCTAAATGACATGTATTTATAGTCTCCAATACTCCATGGTCTCTAGGGTTCCGGAATTGAGGCTGAGAATGACTTTGGGCTTCAGATACATGGGCTTTAATTCGGAGATTGATTGCCGCGGTCGGGAGTGTCGTGACCGCGGGGATTGGCTGGTTGGCCGCAGTCGGGAAGCTTCTGACCGCGGGAAATAGGTTGATCACCGCGGTCGCGTGACTTGCTGGCCGACTTCGAGTGGCTCCGGGGCTAATGGAATATCTTGAGATCCAACCGTTGGAATGTCTCCAAACCAAGTGCATTTGATAGCTGGTTGATTCTTCTATAAGTTGTCCAATTTTGAGGGTGATCAGACGGTGAGAAGGTCTTCGTCTCTCCATGAGAGTTCTGACGGTCTGCATTTATCCAAAAGAGTCCTTTTGTTCTATTTTGTGCCTCTTTATCCCAAATTACCTGAAAAGTCTTTTAAAATCCGGAAACATAGAAATCCTTTGAAAACCTTTGAAAATGGAGTAAAAACACCTGTAAAAGATATTAAAGTGATCCATAAAAATGGTCAAAATCCGGTGTTATACATCTGGTTCCACATGTTCATACACAAAATGGCATGGCTGAGTCTTTAATAAAATGGTTGCAATTGATAGCAAAACCGTTAATATTGAGAACAAAACTCCCAATTACTGTATGGGGACATGCTATATTGCATGCTGGGGCATTGGTCCAGATGAGGCCAAATGCATATAATGAATATTCCCCAAT